CCTAATGGGAAAAACATACACTCCAAATAAGTCATAATTTTTTAAATCTGATCATTATTATACTTATTTGGCTCACTTGCGGTTATCTTCTTACTGTTTTTAAGTTTTTTTTCTGATTATATTGATTATTGTTCAATACTTTTCACTTATACAAAATTTCAATCATTCAAAAGTAGGTGACAAGAGAAATAATTTCTCTAATTAATTTCTTATTTATATTTTAACATCTAAGAACCTTGATAGACGTTTATACGATATTACCCAAGGTAGGGAGCAAGCGGAGCCCAACAAAAATATTGCATTATTTAGTAAAAAGTAAATATAATTAAAGCAAAGCGGATTAGAATTTTCAAAACATTTTTGACAAGTGTTTTTATTTATAAATTACGTAACGAACAATTAGTGAAGTTGTCCCTCCACGTATCAGGATCGTAACACCTGGCCTGACCCTTTACCCCTCTCTATTTCGTTTCATACAACTCGTCCACTGTAAAAGTTTTAGGCTTAAATTCAAAAAATGATTTTTTAATTTCCAATAATATTTCGCTTTTAGATAAATAATTTCAATTTCCAATCAACATTAAAGTTTGATGCCTAAACAATGGAACAGAATTATTTTAGTAATACTAAGAATCGCTTACTTTCCGGTTCTAAAACAAGACCGTAACGTCTGATTGGATCACCTCTCCCCCAATTCGAGTTAGGTAATTTATGAACAGTTCCTTTATACATAATAATATGACCTCAGAATCATATCGTTTGGCTCAACCATTACTTTGCAACAATGCGTAGAGCTGAAATGCCTATTTTGAGGGACAAAAGGAAGACCTGGTTTTAATACCAATAACTTTAGAAACAAAATTACGGGTTTAATATTAATAATATAACATTTATTTATTATACATTAAGTATTCATATTTCTTACATTCAAGTGTAACACAACTTTATTCTCGTGAATACATACGTATTTCAAGACTTTTAACATCAACATTTTCTCCGTTTGTATAACGTCAATATTGGGAACTGACGTGCAAGCGTCGCTTAAAGCAATTGCGGAAAATAGCTTACAGTTTTAAAAATATTACACATACAGTACTAGTGTTGACAAATAAAATGTTATTACACTTAAATGATTTCTTTTCGAATCTTACCATTTGATTTATTTAATTAAAAGTGGAATAGATGGTAAAGTTTTAATTTCAAACAAATGTTTCATTTAAATTACATTTCTAGTAATTCTGATATCAGCAGTGATTTGCTTTGACGTTCTTGTATTTTTTTGTAAATATGTGTGTACATTTTTTTGTATATAAAACCTTATAACAGTTAATGTATAGGTGCAGTAGATGCGTGACTTCTAAATAATCGCAGTTAACAGATACTCAATTTAACAAATTATAATAAAAAGTTTTGTTTTTCATTTTACTAATAGTCTTTTTACCGTGTACAAATAAAATAATGAAAGCACACCACTGAACAGTAATGTAAGGGCTTGCTGTATGGGCTTTACCTATAGTGTATAAATGCTGATTTAACTCGATTGGTTGTAATGAAACTCATAAAGACTGCCTCTTACTGCACAATACACTTTGCTTTCCGATTTTTGATATTTGGTAATATTCCTCAACTTCTACTTTTAACTTTGTTTTTTAATTAATGTAATAATGTATGCAAACACCATATAATAACTCTTCTGTTGTAAGCTATAATTAATTCAATTTTTTACCACCAGCTGTTATGACTCAATACAACAGTTTCCAATAATGTTCATTAACTTGGTTTGCGTGCCTAACCATTGTTGAAGAGGGCTGGGTCTTTGGAAGATTTCCCTTCTTCCACGAAAAAAAAAAATTGCCAAGTAAATACTTTTACACGGCCCTTAGCAAATATTTCAAATACTATACAATAAGCAATAAATATTAGATACAGCCTTTATCCTGACAGTATTTATTATGGGTATTAAACTGTGTATCGTTCAGTGCTTATGCTTTGAATATTTATAATAGTCTAATCTATTACGCAATGGTATTTAAATTTATCATTACTTACATTTGAGTAGATGTCTTTCTGAAAGTTTTTAAGATGGCTCGGGCTATTCTCTCATATGAATGCTCATATGAACAGGTAGGGACTGTTTTTGAGAAAACCTTTTCTGACATATATCACATGAGAACGGTTTTTCCCCGGTGTGGACGCGAAAATGATTAGTCAACTTCGATTTTCTAATGAAACGTTTCCCGCAACTCGGACATTCAAATGGTCGTTCGCCTGTATGCAACATTTCATGTCGCACCAAATCGATCCTAAAAATGATATTAAATTAATTTTATAATAACAAATAATATTTAAATGTAAATAAGGAATGCATATGTGTTTTCGCTGCCATTACGAAGAAAAGGATTTTTTACCCCTTTCGGTTTTTTTATTGAGTTTGAATGCGGCAAAAATTAAAAAAAAAAAAATTAACAATAATAACTATAATCAAAGTTGAAGCTACCATTTTAAGGTCAGTTGTATACTTATGTTTACTTACTTGCGAGCAAATTTCCTACCACAGAATTTGCAGTTGAATGGTTTTTCTCCCATATGAATGTGCATATGTCGATCGAAATCCCGTTTATCGGTAAACCTTTTCAGACACAGTCGACACTCGTACGGTTTTTCCTTGGTATGAACACGAACGTGTCTGGTTAAACACCATTTTTTGATGAAACGTTTGTCGCAGGTATCGCACTTGAATGGTTTTTCTCCCGTATGAACTAGCATATGCACACCGAGACCGTATTTTTTGGAAAACCTTTTCTGGCACATTTGACATTCATACGGTTTTTCCCTCGTATAAACACACATATGTTGATCGAGGTGTTGTTTTTCAGAAAACTTCTTTTGACACACTTGACACTCGTGCAGTTTTTCCTCAGTATGGACGCAAATGTGTGAGGTCAAATGCAATTCTCCACAGGTTTCGCACTTGATCGGCTTTTCTTTTCCGGAAAACTTTTCAGGGTGTAATGGACGCTCGAGTGGTTTTTCCTGTGTATGAATCAACATGTGCAGATGGAGACGGAATTCTTCGGGAAACCTTTTTCGACATACTTGACATTCGTATGGGTTTTTCCCTGTATGAACACGCGTATGTACATCGCGAATGTGTTTTAGGGAAAATCTTCTCTGACACACCGGACACTCGTATGGTTTCTCCCCAGTATGGATACGAAAGTGATAGGTCAGCTTTGATTTCTTGACGAAACGTTTATTGCAAATCGGGCATTCGAATGGACATTCACCCGTATGCAACATCTGATGATGTATCAAACTATCTCTGAAAATGATAAATTTAATAAGTTGATTTAATACCTAAAAACTAGTAGGTATGCTCGTGCGAATAAATCTTACGTTTTTTTTTTTTAAATTCTTCAACAGATCAACGACTTATCTAATTATTTTTTTTTTAACAGTTGTACGATTATAACTTTTTTGTTAATTTATTTATTTAAATCAAATCAAAACTAGTGAATGGCAGTATACTGAAGAAATTGTACATATATTATGAAATATGTATAATGTGAGGATAAATATGTTACAATTTACGATTAACATGATAAAATATTAGGTACTGTTTTAAAGGGTACATGTTTTGGATATTTGTATCATAATACACTTGTTTGTCAGATATACCATAGTAATTAGCATTACTTACTTGTAATTAAATCTCATTCCACAGGTTTCACACTTGAATGGCTTTTCCCTTGTATGTATTTGAGTATGTCGATTTAAAATTCGTCTACTGGATAACTTTTTCAGACACACTTGACATTCGTACAGGTTTTCCCTACTATGGATGCTAATGTGACAGGTCAGCTTCGATTTTGAGATAAAAGATTTATCACAGTTTTCACACTTATATGGTTTTTCTGCCCTTTGAGTCATTGACTGTTTTCTTCCTAAAATATGAGTTTTTGTTTTCACATTTATGATTGTTTCCTAAGTTCTCTTGCATGAAGTCTAATATGATGTACATATTGTACTTGAAACTTCCCCATAGAAGTTGAAAAAATTACTTAAACCTGTAGCAACATTGCTTAAGTTTAATTTCATCTTTAAGAAAATTACCTTCTATTTCCTTTTTTATTGTGGTCTCTTCTTTAGTATAATTTATATTTAAATGCTCATTTTCAAAAATATTATGTCCTATTTCTTTTTTTATAACAGTTTCTACTTTTACATCTAAATTTAAAAGTTCATTTCTTCTACTATCTTCCTTATTGGGATAAAGCCACCCTCCATCAATATACTCAGCGTCACCTTCAGAAGTATTACCTTCTACTTCTTCTTCTTTTATAATAATTTCTTCTTTTAAATAAAAATCTAAAACCTCATTTCTTTTATTGGAAAAACAACAAGCTTCGTCAGTAAGCTCCATTCCTTTAATAATATGATCTTTTATATTCTTTTTTGTTGCAGTTTTTTCTCTTATTTCTTTAAATTTAAATTCTTACTGTTATCTTCATCATCAAAAAATCATTTTCTTATATTTCATTTTTCATTGCTAAATTATTTGATTCTTTGTAATTCGTTTTGTCGATATTTATGTTTTTATTAACCGTATACATATAATATGTCATCAGTAATTTTTTGACAATGAAACATTATTAATCTGCTTAATTTATGAACGGCTTCAATGAAATTTGAAATATTTTCTTATTTAGTTTCAGTTTTTCGATAACTGTGAGCAATACTCTTAAGAACAGCTTTTTATTATTTGGATTAGATTAGATTTTTATATTAATTTTAAATATATTTCTGTCCTTAATTCATTTTCTTTTACTACCGCCATCTACCACGAATTTTATAAATAAGGATGAGATTGAAAAACAGTTTTCTTTGTATTATTTTGTTGTCTTTCTGTGATTGTTACAGATTGCAAAGATACTATTTCAACCACCTGAAAAGTAGATAGCAGACCAACTTCTAATTTACAAGGTTCGACTTGTCAAACTGCAACCCTTCGGTTTGATGCACGTCGACGCACCCCTTATTTATGCATGTCCTTTATAAGGTGCAGTGGTATGTCAACTTGGTCCTACGTCTACAATTACAGCGCATTGGACAACCACTATAGAGCGACACGATACCATCTTTCGTCGTCGATTTTGACTTGTTGCACCCTTACATGGTTCTTGGAAGCTTGTTTCGCCGCTTCAAATTCTAAGGCATGGGACAATGCTTCACTTGGTCTTGCAGCGTATTCGTCCGTAGGTCTTGGAGAGAGAGTGAAGGATGACTAAATATCATGTCCGATGGAAACCTGAGTTCTTTTCCAGTTATATGTGTCGGCCCCAATCAGTTTGGTGCTCGTGGACAAAATTTCTTCGATTGGTCTCTAGAGTAGCGTTAAATCGTTCAACCAGTCCATTCCATTCCTGCGCATGTAAGGGCGTAGTCCTTGTTTTTGAAATGCCCTTTAGTTCAGTGAGTTTCTTGAAGTCCACTGAGTTTAATAACTTTTCGTTGTCTAGCTCTCTATCAACTGCTTCAAATACTTCCAATTGTGTACCTTTGCAGATCTTTTTTCTTGGAAGTTTTTTGAATCGGTTTTATCAGGTATGGGTGATGTTTCATTTCTTACGAGGGTACGTCCCCCCCCTCCCAATAATGCTATTCTGACTCTTACAATGCTCTTGGAGTGACTTGCTAGTGCTGGAACACAATCAAGCTTCCTTTTGGGATTTGACATTACTATATCCTGCCCATCAATGCGTATAGTATACGTATAAGATCGCATTCGCTAATTCGAATATCTACGCTGCATTTTCCATGGATTGGTGAAGTCTCCCGGTTGCTGTAGTCAAGATCAATCTCTTAGTCATGGGACGATATCGCCATTTCGATACTACATCAGGCCGAACGATAGTGTTGAATGCTCCTGTGTCGACTATCATTGTGACATTTTAGCGATATGCAGATATACGATATTTCATCTAGTCTTTAAATGACGACTTATTCGGGGGCTTGGTGAGGTTAAGTCAACTTACGCAATATAAAGTTGACTGATTTTAGTTTTAGTCCGGAAGATTGTGTTTTGTTTGAGGGGCATTTTCAATTTAGGTGACCTGCTCTTCCACAATTCCAGAACGATATTTCATCTAGTCTTTAAATGACGACTTATTCGGGGGCTTGGTGAGGTTGAGTCAACTTACGCAATATAAAGTTGACTGATTTTAGTTTTAGTCCGGAAGATTGTGTTTTGTTTGAGGGGCATTTTCAATTTTGGGTGACCTGCTCTTCCACAATTCCAGAACTTCGGTGCTGACCGCTATAGTTCTTGCAGTCTTTAGCAAAATGACCAGTCCTTCCACATTCGTTCTCTCTTGTGGTTTTCTTTTTGCATTTATTATGGATTCATTGATGAGCGACACGATACCATATCTTTTATATTTGTACTGACGACGATTTCTGTTTGTTGCACCCGTATGTAACCCTTGGAAGCCTATTTCGGCACATTAAACTATAAGGCATGTGACAATGCTTCATTTAAAGTCTTGTGGTGTGCTATCTTGCTGTAGTTCGATGTTTCTGACTGCATCGATCAATGTTTGTTTTGGCAGTTGGTTTATGAACTCTTAGGGAGTAAAGGGGTTAGGTTAATCTTACGAGGCGCTTTACATCGGACTCAGATTTTGTGAAGAATCTCACTGATTCCTTGGTTACGATTTTCCGATTGCGGATGATAAGTCAAACAATATTGAATGAAATTGCCATATTGTATATTTGTCATGATGATGTTGTCAGCATTGATACTGAAAATTGAGGGATAAATTTATTTCTCGAAATACGAAGCGAGTAGAAATTTTCGCGAAAATTGTATTTTTTGTATACGAATTTTTGAGCCCATTTCTATGCATTGGATATATTTTTTTGACATAACAGATTAGTATGCTCAGATTTGCAGATGATATAGCAGTATTAGCATCTACCAAGGAGGGAGTTACAGATAGCTTTAAATAAAATGGAAGCGGTATTGACAAAACATTACTGTATGAAAATAAATAAAAGTAAAACTAAAATACTGGTATGCAAGGGAAGAAAAAGTAGGGAAACAGCAATATAAAGAATACAAAAATTAGAAGTGGCTGATTTTAGATACCTAGGAAGTCAGATAAGTGAGGATGGAAGGAGTAGTAGGGATATAAAGCAGAGGATAGCGCAGGGTCGAGTTGCCTTTAATAAAAAGAAGTCACTTCTATGCTCGCGAACCGTTAATTTAGAAATTCGAAAAAGGTTTTATAAAGGTGTATGTTTGGAGCACGGCGTTGTACGGGTGCGAAACATGGACAGTGGGAGCGGCGGAAAAGAAAAGTTAGAAGCGTTCGAAATGTGGCGTTATAGGCGGATGATGAGGATATCGTGGGTAGAAAAGGTTAGAAATGAAGAGGTATTGGAAAGAATAGGAGAACAGAGGACTCTATGGAAGTCAATAAAAAATAGGCGAGATAGGTTGGTAGGACACCTTCTCAGGCATGAAGGTCTAGTCAGAGACATATTAGAGGCAGAAACAGGAGTTACGAGGAGTAGAGGTAGACCTAAATTATATTACTGTTCGCAAATAGTTAAGGATGTGGGTTGTTCTAGTTTTAGGGAAATGCGAAGTTTAGCTCAGGATAGGAAAGAGTGGAGGTACGTGTCCAACGAGTCTTAGGACTGATGACCTTATGATGATGATGAACAGATGACACCCTCCTTTCTCACCTTCCTTCTCCAAATATCAAAATTTAATCTGTTCCGCGACGTAACATACATACACAAACGCTTTAAAATCTTTAAATTTAAAGCGGTTCCAAATTGTGAAAAAATATTTTAAATGAAAGTACATGGAGTCTAAGTTTAACGCAAATAACAAAAAACAGGACTTAAAGCCATCAATCGGTACATCAAGAATCTACTTATTCCTGATGTGAATGAATTTACGGTTGTGACGAGAAAAATCGTGTTGTGACAGGGGCGCAACAAGGGAGGGTCCACGGGTGTCCGGGCACCCACTCGATTCGGTTGGACACCCACTCGATTTGGGTTGGGCACCCAGTCAATTCCAGTCGATTCAGATAATAACTCGGTTCAAACAGTTCAAGCTTATAAATGAACAGCCGAAATGATCTTTTTTTTTGTAGTCATTTGTAGTATTATGATGAAACCTTCTTTTTTTGGTGAGCACCCAGTCAAATGTAACGTTGTTGCGCCCCTCGTTGTGACAGATTTGAAATATTCAGAACAAAAAAAGTCGAAAAAACATGTTCTTTTGTTCTTTACACGCACAGCTTCAATTAATTAGCCTTTAGTTGAAAAAAAAACATTTCCAATTTTAACTTTAAAATTGGCCAAAATAAATTGTTTTTATTATTTACTTCTTAAGAACCGTATATTTAATTATCAAATTAATATTTGAGACGACGAAATGCATTTGATTACAAGTTTCTTAGTTTACTTTAGTCCAGAATAATTGAGAATCATATGTAAATCTTTGCTTAAATATTTAGGGGTTGTGGAATATTGTTATCTTGTCGGGTAGTTACGGCTCCCTACCTCCTTTAAACAAGCGAGTTTTGGTAAAATCTGTTAGGTTCGTCTTCTGGTGTATCGTTAAAATCTCCACCATAACACTACGCTTTATTGTTATGTAGTGATATTTAATTAAGAAATAGTGTAATGTTTATGTCGTTCAGAAATTTATAAATGGAAAGCTGTCTGATAGCTTTAATCAAACGAGTGCCAAATTTTCGAATATAAGTTTACGAGGTCTGTCCAAAAAGTATCGTGAATTTTCAATTTCTGCGGGTTACGTATATTCGATTTTAGATTTTTTTGTGGCGTTATGTTGGTATTTATGTCTCTCACTTATACTGACAAGTTCGGGTATGTTGAATGTTCAATTAATTTTTGACAGCTTTTTTGGCTCGTCTTCGATTTTTGCCTATTCCAAAAAATGGATCAAAGAATCTGTATCAAAATTTTGTGTAAAAAACAAAATTAAAAAAATAGTATTGGCGAATCGTCGAATACCGTCAGAGAAGTTGCTGAGGACCTAAGCATATTGATTGACTTCTGCCTTTCGATTTTTACCAATGATTTGAGCATGAGATGGATCGCCGAGAAATTTGTACCAAATTGCTCAATTTCGACCAAAAACAGCATTGCATTAACATTACTAAACAGCTGTTGGATTCTGTTCGCGAGGACCAAAATTTGCTCCAGAGGGTCATAACTAGTCACGAATCATGGGTTTATGGTTATGACGCGGAAACCAAAGCTCAATCATTCCATGGAGGCTGCCGCACGAGTCAAGACCGCAAAAAGTGCGCCAAGTTAGGTCGAATGTGAAGGTTTTGCTTAGTTTTCTTCGATTGCAGGGGCGTGGAGCATTATGAGTTCTTGCAACAGGATAGAACGGTCAATAAGGAATATTACCTGCAAGTTATGTGCGATTTACGCGAAGCAATTCGCCAGAAACGTCTGAATTTGTGGATGAACAAAAATTAGCTTTTGCACCATGATAACGCCCCTGCTCATATATCGTTGCTTGTGCGCGAATTTTTGGCCAAAAACAACATACTAATAATGCCGCAGTCACCGTATTCTCCATATGCGACCCCCTGTGACTTTTTATTGTTGCTGGCACAAGTGTATAATATCTGATGGGGATTACTTCGAAGGGAACAAAATACATTGTTGTATGTTTAGCAAAAAAAATATGCTAAATAGTGGTGCCTTTAACTTAAGCACTGCTGGCTTTGTCTCGTATGTTTGATTGAAATATATCTTAAAAATGATTGACTAAAACTGTGAACTGCTTTAACTTAGTTTATTATTTACACTTTAACAATTACAATTTAACTCTCTTAACTACTGAAAACTAATGGCTAACTTATACAATGTGTTTGATGTGACCTCTCAACAGGAACTGTCTTTAAAAACTTATTTTTCTATGCTTGTCACCCTTATTTGATTTTAAACTACTCCCAGATGTAGCTTTTTCTTAGAAGGTGACAATATCGACACCCTGCCGACACGAGTTCTAACCGACCCCTCAATAAAGCAAAAGGCTGTTGTTTAACATCCCGCCCCACAATTGATAGATTTTTTATCTATTAATTCGCGTCATCACTGTTTTCATAATCTATTGGTAACGCACACACCTTTACCACGGGACGCTTCACGATTCCACTAATTGTTTTTATCGAAACCACGCGAACGATTCCATCGGTGCCTGGATGTGTGTTGATAATTCGTCCCAATCGCCATTGAAGTGGAGGTAACTTATCTTC